GATTCTCCAGACAAGAACATTGGAGTGGGTTGCCATTTTTCTTCTCCAGGGGATCTTCCTGACCCAGGGATTGAACCTGTGGCTCAAGTCTCTTACATTGGCAGGTGGGTTCTTTACCACTAGCGCCACATGGCTAATGGGAGACTGGTTAATACCAGTCTCCCATTAATAGCAATGCCAATAGGCAGACCAACAGTAATACTGACAATACTGTCTGTCATAACATTATTGCCCTATTTCTTGATCTCCTTCATTTTTTTTTCTTTTTGATGTGGACCATTTTTAAAGTCCTTATTGAATTTGTTAACAGCCCTGCTTCTGTTTTATGTTTTGGTTTTTTGGCCACAAGACATGTGAGATCTTAGTTCCCTGAGCAGGGATCAAATCCACACCCCTTGCACTGGAAAGCAAAGTGTTAACCACCGGACCAGCAGGGAAGTCTGTTTGATTTTCATTTCTGTAGTTATATATCCTTTCTCACTTATTATGCTTGAATTATATCGAGCAAAGAAAATAAGTGACTCTAGCTATATGCAATCACATGGATAAATTTTATTAAAATTATTTTTGAGTGAACAACTGAACACTTAAGATTACATAGTCTTTGATCTCATTTATGCAAAGCTCACAAGAGGCAACACCCTCTGTGGTGTTTAGAGGTCAGGATAAAAGTTACTTTTGGTGATGAAAAAGAGACATGATTGAAAGGGCGTAAGGAAGATTTCTGGGATGCTGGTAATAATCTAATGCTTTATTTCTACACCACGATAGTAGACAAAGGGGTGTTTGCTTTGGGAGAATTCACCACACCCTACACTTAAGATTTGTGGATGTTTGTGTGTGTGTTCTATTTCAATAAAAATGGTAGGAGAGCAGCTTTCTTTGTACTGTCTCACTCTCAATGTACTACATTATCTCACTCCTCAACTTTATTGCCAAATGTCTGGGAAGAATAATTTCTACTTGATTCTTTCTCTCTTAATCTCACTTATTCCCTGCCCTGGCTTCTGCCCGAGTACTCAGAAAGTGTTTTCACCAAAGTCACCGATGACCTGCTAATTGCCAACTGTGTGTTTTCAGTCTGGTCCAGCTTGACCTCTCCACACCACGCAATGCTGCTGAGCTGCTTTCGTTTGTAATCCTTTCTTCCCTTGACCTCTTCCTCATCCTTCTCTTTCTTTGTGGACTATTTCAGTTGTGTCCCTACTTCCTTGGTTTGCCTTCAAATGTTGTTTAATCTACTTTCTTGGCCATTAATTTTGTGTTTTCTAGTTACACTTGTTCAGGGTTCTCTAAAATCAGATTTACAAATTGGCTGTAGACATGTTTTCTGTGATTCAAAGAAGTTTTTAGCAAATTATTAATTATTTGCTATTATATAAATCTCAGTAGATTTTACATAAAATATCACGTTTCTGGAATTAGAAAATTTAAAAAGCCTGGATAACCCTGGGATTCACCCTGTTGAGGGGGCAGAGATCTTTTGGAAGTAAGTAGTAGGAGATTTTAGACCAATACAGAAACTACTTATCTCTATTTTTTTTTAAATCATTTTATTGAAGAAGAGTTGATTTATAATGTTGGGTTAATTTCTGCATCTCTACTTTTTATTGTCTGTTTGGAGTACTTAGGACACTTGAACTTCTCGCACCTATAACATGTGTCTCCTTAGAGTATAGGTTTTGAAGTAAGTGGAACTTCCCAGGTGGTTCAGTGGTAAAGAGTCTGCCAGCCAATGTAAGAGATGTAGGACATTTGGGTTTAATCCCTGGGTCAGGAAGATACCCTGAAGGAGGAAATGGCAACCCATTCCAGTATGCTTGCCGGAAAAAGTCCGTGGACAGAGGAGTCTGGTGGGCCCCAGTCCATGGGGTCTCAAAGAATAGGACATGACTGAGCACACACACACTTTGAAATGGTACAAAAAATAATAATAATAAATAAATAAATAAATAAAATAAATCACATGGGAAACTTGTTCAAATGCTTTTGTTTCATCCTCAGGGAAAGCAATATTACTGGTATTGGGTGAAGTCCAGGAAAGAATATATTTAAAAAATCCCAGGTCTGTGATGCAAGTAGTCCATGGAGGATTGTTTAGGAGATTTCTTTAAACTTTATGTCTTGAACTCTCAGTTCTTGGTTATAAGTGCTTCACTCTTTGCTAGATGATATATCTGTACAAACAATAGCTGTAATAAATATGCCCGATCGATTGTTCCTCCCAGGCAAGCTGAGGCCTGAAGTTCCCATCTCTGTGAAAGTCTATAGCTTGAATCAGGTGTAGAACATTGACCTTTTGAATGCTGGGTCAAGGAACTGTCTCACTGAGCAGGGAAACTGTTGAAGAGTTAATCAATATAATTAGGCAGAGTTGTTGTTGTTGTTTAGTTGCTAAGCAGTGTCCAATTCTTCATGACCCCATGGACTATAGCCCTCTAGGCTCCTCAGCCCATGGGATTCTCCCAGGCAAGAATACTGGAGTGAGTTGCCATTTCCTTCTCCAGGGGGTCTTCCTGACCCAGAGATTGAACCTGCATCTCCTGCCCCGGCAAGAAGATTCTTTACTGCTGAGCCATCAAGGAAGCCCAATTAGGCAGAGACAGGTATTAAGCCAGAGGACAAGGACAGGGAAACCAGGGGTCGGTGGGAAGTTTTGGAAGAGGCATGAAGAGCAGGGCTTGTAGCAAATCTTTGAGGCATGAGAAGGTGGCTGCCTTTGAAATAAAACTTTTGATGTTAGCACAAGGGGCATAGCTAAATTGGTGTGGATCATAATATGATCAATGTTATACTGGAGTAATACATTGTGTCTGTAAATGAGGTTCCATCAACACCAGAGTCTGAAAATAGTCCTGAGTCATTTAATGAACCATTTAGGTCAACATCACTTGTTTGTGGCATCAGTCTGGGTAGCAATGATGTCCAGCTGCTGAATAGGTTCCGTGCTGTTTATCTGTAACTTCAGAGTTGAATCACTGTTTTGGTCCAACAGTTGGATTCGGTGAATCATTAAGGTATAAAGAAAAAGAGGGCAGAAGGCTTGAGGGTGATGGTGAGTGATTTCAGAGCTAGACCATAGGTTCAATGCTTAATAGTGAAGCAAGAAGTTAATTTACAAGGAATGAAACCATCAAGGAACTGGTGGCCTTGGTGACATTAGAGAACAGGTAGGAAGAAATGAGAGAAAATGAGGACTTGATGAAGGGAAATTGTAATAAAAGAGCTTTTGGTGATTAAAATCTCAAAACCAATTCATTTAGGGTAATGGTGATATTTCAAAATGTTGCTGAAGTGAGGTAGAGTTGAAGGTCTTTAGCATGAGAAGATTAAGGAACTATAAAGTAAGAGAAACAGTGTTTGTGAGATAAATGTATTTCCACATGTAAATATCAGGAAAAAGAAGTTGTTTCTTCTTTTTTAAAAAATGGTTTATTCCTGCTGATGCATTAGTTCACCTATACTCTGACTCATTCATGGTCATTGTCAATTTGATGAAAATCCTTTGCATTTTTTAATCTCTTTTTTTAATCAAATTTTTATTCCCTGAAGAGATGATAGGAAGAAAAGCAGTTCAGTCTACCTAAATAAATGAGAGGCAAGATAACATGGATAATACTGTGGAATTCCACAGTTTTCAAGATATGTTTTATAGAAATCACTCCACTTATTAGAACAACTCATTATGTAGACTGGGAAGAAATTATCATCTACTTTTAATAGACAAGAAACACAAGAAGACAAACTGAAGGTAGCAAACTAATAAGTGACAGAAGCCACACTAGAATCCCTGCACCTCTATTTTATTTTTAATATTTTAAATACTTTTAAATTAATGAAGTTGTTGAGGATGCATTTGGTGTTGCTATATTTTCTTGCTTTACAATTATCATTTTGACTTATTATTTTCCCATTAATGCTCACTAGAAAATTGAGTTATTCAAAATCATCTAACAGTTAATCCAACTTACATACTCATTATGGAAAAAAGCAAGAAGACTTTTACTTTTAGTCTTGTGTAGGTTAGTTTTACAGGATAGAAATAATTATCTAATAGAATTTATAGAACTCTGGGTTCTGTCACCTTTTGGATTTTTGATAGAAATAACAGTAGATCTAGTTGATGTGTATGTGGTGTGTATGAATTCTCATGGACCTCTAAGTGCTTATACAAAACACAACTATCAAGAGCCGTTTCTGGGACTTCCATGGCAGTCCAGTGGTTCAGACTTCACTTTTCAGTGCAGGGGGTATGGGTTCGATCCCTGATCAGAGAGCTAAGAGTCACATGCTTCAAGGCCAAAAAAATCAAAACATGAAACAGAAGCAACATTGCAACAAATTCAATAAAGATTTTTTTAAAAAGAGCCACTTCTAAAATTTTCTATCTCTATTTGATGTTTCAATCCTCATTTTTTGGTAAAGTTTAATACAAGAGGGCTCTTCATTGACTATTTCTAAAAGAAAAATTTTCCATGTGAGTGCAGGTCTCAAGAATGAATTGCAAAGGGAGAAAGGTCAAAATGCCTGAGCTGTTCTCATTCTCTCAATACACTCACGTCTATTTCCCCAGCTTTCTTTTCTGTGGAATATACCCCAGAAGAACAAGGTGTCAGGGAAAGGAGGCAAAATCTCTACTCAGAAAATGGGGTTTCAGTGTAGTACCTAGCACTTCTCAGCTTTATACCTATAAGCTTCATAGTTACTGTACTCCAGTTTCCACATCTATAAAATGGATCAAATAAGAAAAGGTACATGGGAGCATTTTGTAAAATATAAAGCACTTTATAATAATATATTTGATGAGGTGGAAAACACACAACCATGGAGTCAGATCTACTGTGTTACCTGCAGCAAATCACTTAATCTCTCTGAATCTTAATTGCTCATCTGCAAAATATAGATAACACACTGTTAAACATTGCTTTGATAAACTTGGGTTCAAAAATCTGATGGTCCCATATTATCCTAGGGCAAATCTGAATGCTGTTCAGTCCAGCATGCCTTTAACTTCAGAAGAAGCTTTAAAGGTCATGAAAGGTGTAGCCCAGGGTCTTCATACATTGCACAAGGCCGACATAATTCATGGATCACTTCATCAGAACAATGTTTTTGCTTTAAACCGTCAACATGGAATTGTTGGAGATTTTGACTTCACCAAATCTGTGAGTCAGCGAGCCTCAGTGAACATGATGGTTGGTGACTTAAGTTTGCTATCACCTGAACTGAAAATGGGAAAACCTGCTTCTCCGAGTTCTGACTTATATGCTTATGGCTGCCTTTTATTGTGGCTTTCTGTTCAGAATCAGGAATTTGAAACTAATGAGGATGGAATCCCAAAGATGGATCAGTTTCATTTGGATGATAATGTCAAATCCCTCCTCTGTAGCTTGATCTGTTGTAGAAGTTCAATGACTGCTGAGCAAGTCTTGAATGCTGACTGTTTCTTGCTACCAAAGGGAAAATCAGTGCCAAACTCAGAGAAAGATACTGAATACATCCCCCAAAAAGAGGAAGAAGAATTAAAGGTGAAGAACTTGGATAAAGATAAGGAAAAGACAAGAAATGGTGAAGCCAGCTTTGATTGATAGATTAGTATTCTTTCCTTGTTGCAGATGTTCCTTTTAAAACCTTTGTTTAGTTTGGTTAAATAAAAAAAAAAATCTGGAAGTGTTCTGGAGCTAGTTGGGTTGTATCTTTGGTACTCTAGTTGTGAAAAATAAAAGATGTTTGGCTATGCAAAAAAAAAAAAAAATTAAAAAAAACAAAACAAAAATCAAATCATGTGTAGCATCTGTATTTCCATTTATAAATGATACATTTTAACCTAGAGAACAGGGAACAAGAACCCTTTAGGCTTTCTTACAGAGTAAAACACATTTTTTTCCATAGCAAATTCTGCTAGAATGCTATGGTCACTAGATATTTTAAATTGGTTTAATAACACACAAATAAATGGGCAATATCTATCTGACTGAATATGCACAAGGTGTATAATGACCTTCCCACCCAATTTTTCTTTTTGTATAAATTGGTAGTTTTTGTTTCTAGTTATTAATACAAATAATTTTTTAAAGGAAACATATAGTTCTTGGTAAACATAGAAATACTATTAGAATTGAATACAATTCTAATATTGTATTATATTATTATTATTGTATTATAATATTATTGTATTATAATATTATTGTATTGTAATTCTTTTCTTCTGAAAAGAAGCCAGAGTGCATCTTGACTTTGAACCAGCTTTTGGCCTGGAAGAAAGAAGTGACACGAAATATAATCAGATATGATAAAACACAGAATTTAGTAAAACTGGTTTGCATGGCTCCAAAAGGGACAGGAACATCACCTTTTTTTCCAGCTTACAAACAGTTTTCAGTGCAGTGGTGAAGACGGCAAGTCTCTAATTCCGTCACGGTTGTGTTAGTTACTCCCTAACATATGTGATCTTCTGTCTTCCCACCCGTTCCCCACTTTGCTGTCAGAGAGATCTTTATGAAATGAATCCCCCTTTTAAATCCTTCAATGATTCTCCACTGCCCTCAGGATAAAACTCATATTTCACATCAGGGTCCCTGTCTTCCTCTGTGCTTTCATCTTCTCCTGAGATTCTATTCATGTTCCTCCCATTATAACAACACACCAGCAACTAACCACAGCTTTGTTCCTTTACACAGGTTTCTCTTTCCACCAACCCTTTCTCACCCTTCCCACCTTCTGAATATCCCTCCCTGACCTTTTTCTATTTAAGTTTTATTCCTCTACATTCCCATACTATCATGTGCTTATCTCAATCTTGCAGTTTATATTATCCAATCATATTTAGTACTTATTTCAACTACTAGAGAGTTTATGGTTTAAGTACTGAAAATTTATTCCTATTATAGACCTTTGATGTCAAACACAGTTTAGGAAACAGAGTGGGCACTGTAAACATTTGCTGAATGAATGAATAAAGGCAATGGGCATTGTTGTTATTGGTATTTAGTTGCTAAGTCTGATGCTTTTGCAACCCCATGGACTGCACCCCACCAGGTTTTTCTATCCATGGGATTACCCATGCAAGAATACTGGAGTGGGTTACCATTTCCTTCTCTGGGAGGGATCTTCCCAAACCAGATATTGAAACTGTGTCTCCTGCTTGGCAGGTGATTCATCACCACTGAGTCACCTGACAAAGGACAAACATTGGGATATATCCTTGGGTTGCATCTACTAAATCTCCAGCTAATTATTAACATTTGGTAGTTTAGAATGTGAATATACAACATTCCCTTTTTAGAGAGCATTTAGAAAAAAATGTCAGGAAGAAAATCAGCATGAGTTTTCCTTCTAGCCAACTGTCCGAGGTTAGAGAGGTACTTCGAGATTAGTGAAGGTTGTATACTAATAGGCGAAGGAGGTAACTGGAATGAAGTCCCTACCCATCTTCCCTTTTAGGGGAACACAGATTTAGTTTTCCCATTCCTTCTCCTTCCCCGAGGCATTGGCTAGCCCACTCCTGAGATTAAACCAAATACCGGATGGCCTTGATGAAGCCCGCGAGGAGATAAGCTCAGCTTTTCAGGACAGATGATTCATTGCCTCACACTTCACCCATTTGTGCACTGAGGATAATAGTACGGGCTGCCTCCTAGAGATGCTGCGAGGATTAAGGAGCTCAGAGAGATAATAAACATAAAAGAGTGTTGAACGGTTGCTTCGGGATTCAGTCTGAGAAGCAGAGGGAGATTCTCCTTAAATGCTCCTCATTTACCCGTCCTTCATCTCCAGACCATGTTCTGAATGTGCAGACTCCAAAGCACAGATGGAAGAGGTGGGGTGCCAATCCCTGGGACTTGATTTTCTGGTTTGTTCTACAATGCCATGGTCAATTTCTGTAGGTTCATTCAAGCCAATGACATTTTCTGAGTCTCTGTTGCACTAGACTCCACAGACTTGGAAGCCAGATAAGAAGCCCTTGATGCTTCTTTAAAGGAAAGCTTGTTGGACCAACGAAGTCATGATAACCCTATAGCAAAGGACACGGGAGCTGCCCCACTTTTGAAGATCTGGTTTAGGATTATCCATTTGGTGGACTTTGAGGGGAACATTTTAGAGATCAAAGTGACTTGGACAAAAGAGACAACTGGAAAAATAACCACTGAACCAAGTTAAAGAACTTGAACTGAAGTCCTGTACTTTTCCTCAAATATCTAGATATATTCAATGCTCTTTTCTCAAACTGTATGAAGATATGTGTTTGGGGCTGCATGCTGGTGTCCATACTGTCGAATTCTGGTAACTGATGATAACAAACAACAGACATATATCTACAGAATATCAGCAACAACAAAGAGAATCTGTATTAGTTGTAGGAAGTGTGTGGGTAAAATTGAATTTTAATAGTGACCTGTTAACTACTTGTATGTGTGTGTTAGTCTGCACAGTCCATGGGGTTGCAAAGAGTCAGCCGTGACTGAGTGACTAACACACGTGCACACGAGTAGTTAACAGGTTTCATAGAGATACATGGGGTTGGTGTTCCCTTCTCCAGGGGATCTTCCTCACCCAGGGGTTGAACCTACATCTCCTTCATTGGCAGGCAGGTTCTTTACTGTTGAGCCACCAGGGAAGCCTATGTAACTCTTATATTTTAATTATTTGAGTGCTGATTTAGTAAAACTTGTAATATTTTAGGCTCTATACTTGAGGCAATGCATTTGTACTTTGGCTAACAATTCTTTTAATAAATCTTTATTCACACAGTTGGTGGTCTTGAGGTTAGCAAGACAGCTCACTTGATGTACAGAATTAGAAGAATATCAGGGTCCTTTCAAAAACTGAAAAAAAAAACTAATCCTTAATTTGGTTTCATTGATTTTCTTCCTGTCATTTGATTTGTTTCATTCAGGATTCTGCAAAACTTTCTCAGAAAATATTTCGTTATATCTCTGTTTTACTGATTATCTTGCCTCAAGATGTTTTTAAAGCACATTCAAATTTGTATAATTTTATAAAATAAATTGTACACTTCTTTTCTGCTTTTTCAATATTGAAACATCCTCTTTACTTCACAGTTTGTTTCTAGTGTAATTATTTTACCATTTTGACGGATAACTTTGTCTTTTTGTTTCACACAACTTCTTTTGAACTTCAGAGTTATTTTGGACCCAGCATGTGGCCCATTTCAACTATTTTGATGTCTTGATTTTAGAGCAAGGTGACCCATGCTCTATATTTTCTGTCGGCAAATGTATACTTACTTCTTATTACAGCGATTCTACCTTTGATTTATGACACTTTTTTTCTTTTTTTAGTAATTTAACTCAGTATCTCTGCAATTCCATGTTGGGCTGAAGGCTAAATGGATGAGATTTGCAGCAACTTCTCAAATGTGTTTCTAATGAGCATGCTGCCACACCTTTCCATTTAGCATTTATTTCCAACTTTATATTCTTTACTTGAAAGCTCATTATTTTGCATTTACATATAGGGAAATATATGTAATTTGTTGTCTATCAGCACAGACATGTCAATGTTTTCAGTCTTGATGTATCCCTCACAATCTTACTTATCCTTGCTTTTCTAGTCATTTGAAAATAATCTGCAAACAAGCAGAGTGAAAGAGTGGTGAATGCTATCTAGTCTAGTTTATGTCTATTTTTTTTTTTTTTTTTTTACTAATACAGATGATTCTGAAGAAATTTAATAGAAGGAGAGGAAATAATGATGAGACTGACTTGCTTCCTCGGCCCTTTGACTCTGACGTGAGCACCATTGTTTTACTGCACATCATGATGATAATAGCAGTAAAGCAATGTATGGCCATAAGTAAAAGTAATTGTCCACTGTGACCTTCCCAATTATCTTGCTGGCTAAAAAATACAAGGGAACTATGGTTATACATAGCAATGAATGGATTCAGAGAATTCTATATGATTTTAAGCTGTGTTGATAGGGGTATCATGTAAGAAATTATTTTATTTAATGTTCATTCATTTGTTTAATAAGCACCTACTGAATGTCAAGTACTCATGAACTTTTTTTTTTTTAATTTTGTCTGTGTTGGATGGCATGTGGGATCTTAGTTCCCTGACCAGAGATAGAACCTGTGCCGCTCTATCATCAGCACGAAGCCTTAACCACTGGACCACCAGGGAGGTCTCCCTGTAAGATATTATTGAATCAAGTAATTGAATGAATAAAAATGAATGAGATCCTTAAAAATAATACTGAAGGAAAGGGTTCGGTAGATCTTGAGATGTAAGGTCTACTTATTCAGAGTATTTTGTAAATGTGATAATCTGCATAAGGAGTGTTATAGTTGTGGGGATTAATTGCTACTATGTGTTATTATAGCCAGAGAATCAAGAATGTCTATGTCCTTTCAAATCAACAATCCTTTTTAAAGGATTTACCTCCACAGTAACCACCAGCAGACGAAGTATGAAGGTAACTTTTCATGGCTTCGTGTGTGTCTAATCATTTAGCAAAGAGTTTCTATTAACATTGGATTGGAGGGTATTTCTTGAGCTTCAGAATTTAAGTGGGGGCTCAGTAAAAAGATCTCATCCCCATATTCTGAATTCTGGAGCCAATCTCT